AAAAAAAAAACTTTATGGAAGTAAATTTTTCAGTTTTGTAAATTTTGTGAAGATACTGTCACGAAATAAACCTATGCGCCGCCCGGTACGACGCCTATGGGTTTTCTAGTATGTGCGGCATCGGCGACTCATCATTACCAACGGCGGCGCTCGAATAAAGAAAAACCGGGAAGCGAAAATCACGATGGGCACTACAGAATAACCTCGATCGCGAAATATCTACAAAGCAACGCGTCGCTGTTTATTTAAATGGGGACCAGCTCCGGGAACAGGCAGTAGAGTTCAGTCAATGTGAGAATTTGAGTCTAGTCTATGCATACTCGCTCTATAGTTAATCGTGTAGTTTTGTGTTAGTGTTGAATTTTACCCACGCCGATTTTAAACACCCGTAAATCGTAACAATACTAACATTGACTTAATGATTACCAAATAACGAATAAAAATGTTAATATTGTATCATGTTTATTAAAAAATACGCTCAAACGTTATTTGAGTTTTAATAATATATACATTTTTTTTTGTTTACACAGGATGTTTAAAAGAATCGCAATGAATCAGTTGGTTTAGCTGATTAAATCTAAAGTTTATCCCATTTTTCTAAAATTTCTGGGAACGCACTACTGTTTTATCACAAAATTGTTGTCAATCTTTCATTGATTATTATTTATGCTTCAGGAACAAGGAAGTTCTGTCTAAACAAACTTTAGACCAATTTTATATACAGCAACTTTATTATAACAAAAACTACCTCTACGATATTATGATTTATTTAGGTAAAATATTAACACTTAGTACAACTGTTTATACAGTTGTGCAGCGCCTAATAAGTGTTAATATTTCTATTTAAATCTAAAAAATATAAATGCAATGATATATCACAACTGTAGGCTCATCATATTTTGAACATTTTCGATAGAATTTATTCGGCAAAATTTTGAGAATACGTCATCAGTTTTTTGGAAGGGATAAACAGATACATTTGGATTACAAATTTACCATGCTAACGATAACTTTCAAAGGTCTACAAGATTTCAAAGCTTTCGGTTTTTCAGCTTTTGATTTCATCAAGAAAATACATTGACTGATTCATTAATTTAAGAGATTTTGAAACGTCGAGAAAACATAGAAGTACCGAGTCGCCCGATGGATTCGATTACAATACTTCCTTACCTTACGCGCGGGAAGTAAAAATGTAATGTTGCCATTTTTATACAAAAATCCATTTAGAATTAGCGATTTTTTTAGTGATGATTCTTAAGGATTTGTGTTCTGGCTTCAGAGTCTGATTAACTTTTGGATGCAAGTTTATTCGTAATAATTAATTCTTAAAAATCAATTTATTAATTAATATGTACAACATAAGCAGGTATTTTAATAACGAAAAATATTTTCAATTTGTTCTTAATGGGTTATTTCTTCATTTACCATAAGATTTGCTTGTAAAATTTAATAACTTTTTGTAGTGCGTTAAGCTAAAGACACAATTATTTTGATAGCATGGAAATCCTATACTCCTAAGACTTGTAGAAAACAATAGTTGTAAACAAGTAAAAACAGAAGAACTGGTTTATATTTAACTATCTTCTGCCCGCGGCTTCGATCACGAAAATTTAGTTTGTTACCATAGTTTCTTTCTCATAATTGTGCTTCTTTTAAACTTGAATTTTGTATCTCTGGAAGTACCTAGTTCTGATTTTTAGAAAGGAAACAGTAAATAGACAGTATCTTAAACATTATGTAATCCAAAGAGCAGGACTAAAGAGGACTATGACAGTCGAGGAAGAGAAAGAGTTGTGCAAGGACAGGGGTCAAAAGCACTTTGTCGTCACGGCTTACCTCGTAGGCAAACCAGTGTGAAATCCATAAGTGCTATATACGGCAACACTGGTTTACCTGCCATATGAAATTTAATTAACCTCTCCTTAGGCCTTACAACCACAGTTTACTTTGCAACTTTCGATGCGAAGTTACCTCGTTATTCCAGTGTTGTTGTTTACTTTAATGTTACATACGTATCTTTATTTTAACTTATAAGGGTTCCCATAAAAAAATTTGCAAAATCAAATTTTGTAATTTTTCGATAAAGTTGGGTATTTTTTATTGTACTTCAAAGGCGACGGAAGTTCTGTCAAAATAACCTTCGACCAATTTTTTTAATTAAATGCGACTTCCATACATTCTTTCATCCCCTACTTTATCTATTTAGGGGTGCAATTTCCAAAAACGCAGAAACAGATAAATGTTAATTTCTACCCATAAGCCTAAATATTAAACGTCAAGTTTTTACTTTGCAAATACATGACGGAACGAACATTAAGATTTTCATCTCCTATTTTATCATCTTAGGGAAGGAATTTCCAAAAATCCTTTCTTAGTACGCGCCTACGTTATGAAGAGAACGTGCATGCAAAATTTCAAGTTTCTAGACCTAACAGTTTGAGCTGTACGGTGATAGATCAGTCAGTTAGTTTACTTTTTTGTCCCGTAGAAATTTCGAAAAATCCGGCTTTATTCGTTGTCTGCATCCTAGAGGGAACCTCTGTGCAAAAATTCAGCTTTCTAAGTCCAAGAGTTTGGGCCAGGACTTTTCTTTTTATTTGTATTGATAAATGAGTACGTCTGAAATACTTAAAATTTGGGAAGTTATTAATCTTTAGTTAGTGTTTTACAGGTGGCAGATATTGGTAGATGTGAATGGAGAATTTTACCTTTGTTTATGCAAATAGTGGTAAAAATACGTTAATAAAAAAAGACGTAAAAATTTGTAATCGTTTTGATAAGCCGGAGTGTTAATCAGTTCTAAAATTTATTATTACTAGTTCGGCAATAGTTTATTTTAGCATATCATTACAGGTAGAGAAAACCTGTAGGTTATGCATTTATAGCTACGTCTGCAAATTTTTATAACTTTTCAAAATTAAGTGTGAATACTTGTTTTTATTTGTATTTTTTCAATCTAACTACTTATTTGTACATGCTCTAACAAATACTGGCTACTTTCTATGTATTAAACCATAACAAGAACCTAACCTTAGAACTAGATTTCTGAATAATTGATCTGGAATGAGTTAAGTTTAACAAACGTAGAGATCGGTTACACCGACACCTACTAAGATGGATTTTGTAGCATACGTATTGAGAATATTGAAAACAAATTCGATTTCGCATAAAATTTCTAAAACCACCAATAAGAAAATTAGTTCTCTCGCAGCAGCGCGTTAGAATCTGATTTCTTTAATTCTCATAAAAATATTTGACACATCCACCTTAATTTATCATTAGATATGGAAAGGAAACTGCGAAGCCTAAATAGGTGTAAAAAAGCATTCGTTCGTATTTTATCGATTTCAGAAAAATTCTTTGATAACTCCTGAATCACATCTAGGTCATTCGTTTTGCCATACATCTTCAACTTTATTGGCAAATGCAAAAGTCGACGATCTTCTGCTGGCTTGACACGAAGTATAAAATAAATTTCTCTGCGGTAGGTAAAAGTTGCTATAAATAACACAGTGACTGCCAATAAAATGTATGCTGTACATTTGATTGTACAAAATTCCGGCTAAAAGGTTAACTGTTCAATTGTCGTAACGAGTCAAAGACCCTCTCAAGCAAACACTCAAAAAATATCATAACATGCTTAATATATCTATGAGAAAAAATTATGTTATGTATAATATTCGCAACTTAAAAAGATCCAATGTTCTCATAAATTGTCTACTTATGCCAGCGGTCGTTACATCTACAAGTGTAATGTAACAAAGTGTATAGGTAAGTATACTTCGCCGTCATTTTTAAAGAACTTAGCAAGCCGATTGTTGGAAACTTTTTGGTGTCGCTTGTTTTTTATATAAGTGCAACAACTGCGTCTTATTTTCATAATTACCTTTAAACATAGAACTTATTTATGGGCTCTTATCATTACAAAAATGTCTATTGCGTGTTGCTTGAAACACGCTTAAAATTTCACACTAACGTCTCAGAAATATTATATTATTAACTTCACTAGTTACTAAATACAGCTAACATTATTAAAATTAACCTGCAAATATACAATTCCTTTTATTTTTCATATTTGTTACGCTCAATAACAACGAAATAAATAAGAATTCTCATCGTAAAATAAAAGCAAAAAAATAAAGGACAGAAATGTATCTCTGTCTCGTTCCCCTATCTACAAGTGTAAATCCACTTTCATGATACAGAAGTAAATATGATTTGCAGATGATTGGTGATTTGTATCAGATATCTGTGATTCTTACAAATTTTTAATTAAAGTTTTCATTATTAAAACTAACATTTATGCATAAGTAATTAAAATTTTATTGAATATACCAGAATTATTGTTATTCTTTAGAACAATTCAGCATTAGCTACCTACAACATTGTACGTGGTTCAAAAGATTTTGTTAATGGAGGAATAAAAAGTAGAGTATATACCAGGGGATAAGTGTCTCTCCTTCGTGTGATTCATTTTAAACTCGACAGTAAAAGACGTAGTTTAGTTCCTTGCTACATAATGTGTCAGTTTTTCCTTAATTTATCAGATTCTGCGATAAGATTAAGTCGCACAATTTCCTCGTAAGTTAAATAAAGAGCCATTTAATACCAAAAGTCAAAATCCAGACTTATCCTTTTAATAAGAACAAAATTAGAAATCGGCTGTAAATCCCTTAGTATTTGTTGAAAAGTGTAAGATAATTTATAGGTGTCATCCTAAAGCACGTCTGTAATTAACCCGCTCTCATCTCTAAACTTGTCCTGTTGATTTAGTGTCAGCCGCTTTTATAATTGGCCGGTGTTTGTAGCAGGCATTCTGCGGGAGCCAGGATTCCATATAAATTATGCGGGTTTTCTAAACAAAGAAACTGTTGTGTACTTTGAGATTTAAAGCTTTAATGTGATGTAACACCGGCTTAATAAAATTAACGTTGCGACGAAAAATTCGGCTAACTCATTCATCAATTTTGCATTCAAGTTGGATCGTTGTTGGTTTGCAGAAAATGTCCCAGCTGAGATACACAAGGACATCGAGGACCAGCCCTGGAAGGGATTCTCCGTTTTTCTGCACGTGCTCTTGCCAATTGCCGGCCTAGCTTTACTCTGGGGACAGAGGGGAATTTTTTCCAAGTTGCTGCTTCAGCTGGACAGGAGTTGTGTTTCTGGTAAATAGGATAATGTTATTTTAACTTGCTGTTCGTTGCGCGCTACTAAAGTAAACTTGTGTAGGAAAATCAATTACCGACACAGAAGTAGGTATTTGTTCATTAGGTGAACAAGAAAAGTGTAACTTCATTTTGAAGTGCTAATGTATGTTGTAAGTATAGATATCAAAAAGATAACATGCAATTTTAATCGAAATTTTTAGTCTGATTTTTTTTAATTAAACTTATCAAAGCTCTTGAAAAATCATCAAGTTCTGTTTTAGAAAACCTTATAATTATCTTTTCATTCTAAAAAAGTGTTATAGAATAGATAAGTATATAAAAAGTAGTACACAACCATGTCTGTTCATCTTCTGCTTGTTGGAATAAGTCACAAATATAACGTTAAACTTATCTCTAGATAATTTTTTTAAATTCATTTAATGCTCATTATCTCTAATTTCCATTTCTTTCTGTTATTTTGTGAATTTTTTTCTTATTTATTTTACTGATAGATAATGTCTCTCGGTTGTTCTTGTCATATATAATTCCCAAATAAGATTTCCCAGTGGCTTTTGAGAAACTTTTTAGGTTCGTTATTTAATTCAGGTGCCTTCATAAAGAGGATAGATTTATAAAAAATCTTGTATGATACTCGTAAATAAACGTATTTTATCCACTGAAATCATTATCACACTCGGCTTCGCCTCGTGTGCTAAACTGTTTTTTCGTTGGATAAAATTCGTTTTTATTCACTTATACCATAAATAGCTATTATATTCTACCTACTACAAATTGTATGGTATTATGCTAGGACGTCTTAGCTATTTTCAGCTCTCAGTGACTTTCGTACCCTTTGTATTGTACGTGCTAATGAGATCAGTCCGCGCTGAAAATCAATGAATATTGTAAAATCTGGATCCCCCGCCAAGTGCTGCAGTGCTAAAAACACGGAATTGTTGGAGGAAGATCCAGTTTATGGCTTATATCGCTAGCAAAAACAGCATAACAATTTCAAAGAATAAACACTCTTCGGATATGATATTTTTAATAGAATTTACTTAAAAGAATGTGAAACATAAGCACTACAATAATCCTTTAAATGGAAAACTCACTAAATAAATTTGAACAGCCTCTAAATATACAGGGTGACGCACTAAGTGCGCGTTCCTCGCTATCTCATTAATTATTATTAGAAAAAAAAATTAAAGGTCAAATTTGTACGGTGCTTTGAGAACTATATTCTAAAATTATTCTAAAGTACACAGAGCGTTTGGTTTTCAATACGTAACATACAACTTAGTTTTTTTTTAATAAAACATCGTATACCCATCTTTACATATTTTGATTGATCTCTTAGGCTTTACAACCACAGCTTATTGTTAAAAATGTCACAGTAGGGTTACTTTTAAAGTCTGCTTTACAACATTTTGTAGAAAGCTAAAAAGAAAGTTACACGCTCTGTTGTGATATAAATAAGATTCAATTTTTATATACAGAGTGTTTATAAAAAGATATTTCAATTTTTTTAAATAAAACACCCTATATTTTAGTACTGCATCTTATTTTATTTTTTATTATTTTTCTTTTTTGCTGAGTACTTTCTATATTTAAATTTGACAGTTTCTGTGATTTTTTATTTTTTAAGGGACACATTAGAAGAATAAGGGCAAAAAATAGACTAAGATATAATAATAAAATATAGGGTGTTCCATTTGAAAAAGTTGAAATATCGATATTCGAAAATTGTAAAAATTGTTTAATTAAATAATGAGATCGAAGACCACGGGGTTAGTGACTCACCCTGTATCACCTTTAAACTAAAAATGATTGCTTTAGAAAGTAAGCAGCTTACCGCTCTTGCCTACAGTTTGGTATAAACGGTCACAAAAGCTTGTAATATCGAATTAAAAGGTATGTGCAATTTTTTTAGGCCCATAGCTTTGTTATTTCCATCAGTTCCTGTCGATTTCTTACTTTCTTCTTTCAGTTCGGAATTGTTTCGCTGTTAGAATTCCCTCTATCGCTTTTTTACATCGCCGTTATTACTTGCCTGTTTAACTTCAACCGTCAAGAGTCTATTAGTTTTTCATCTTTCTGTTGACTCATCCTTTTTAAGTATTTAGCCACTTAGTTCTTCTTATCTGTATAAAGTTAATGATGGGTGCATCCTTGAACAATTTACAAAGCTCAGCATTCGTTCTTCGATCTCATCTTAAGTTTGCTTTCCTCCAAAAACTTTCCTTTTCCAGGATTCCAGTCTTTGCCTATCTTCCTCATGCCTCACAGGCATGACGTTAGGTTGAATTTTTCTCGATACTCCCTCACTTTCCAAAAACTTATGTAATTCCTCAGCACATTTCTCGGCTTTGGCAATTTTGAAATAAATTTCCTTTTCCTATTGACATTTATTGTAGATATATCAGCACTTCTTTCAGATACAAAAAATACTCTACTTTTTCAAATTTTATTGTTGTCTTATCCTACCCTCATACTAGGTTTTTGTTGTTTTACTTTCACACTTGATTTTTCATTTCCATATTTTTGATCTTGCTAGAGTTAAATTCTATACCTATTTCTTCAGCTGTTTTCACTAGCTGTGTTTTTTTTCCAATCGTACATCTGTCAGAATCAAACTCGCTCTGTCACCTCTACACGTGCTCTCATCCCTGAGATAGTGATCATTCAAACATTTCATTTATTTGCTCTGCGTTGCTGGAAGTATTTTTCATAAAAAGTTGTTTATTTTGCGGTGAACCATGCCGTTTTCATAAAAACAGAAAAAAAGTTCATGGTAGAATCATAATTTCGAAATGGTAGACTTTTTTGAAGGTAATTTGACAATTTTGAACTTGAAAATGGTTATTGTCAACAGAATGGCACAATCCTTCATTGTATGGAAAAAAATCTAGATCTCCTTTCGTAGTTTTCTGTTGAACGAATAATCGAAGTAGATACATCAATTACCCTGCTAGATCATGTGACTTAACACATTGTGACTTCTTTCTGTGGCCTTATCTAAAGAATTAGATTTTAACTGGCAATTTGGAGGAACTTCAGGAAAGAAAAGTTGAAAAAAACAATGAAATCAATAACACTCTTAGGAATACTACTAAAATAGTGTAACATTATATACATAAGTATATATAAATATATCTTTTGCTTGATACACCAGTAAATGTCATTAATATAATCGGGGAAGAGAACAATACAATAAAGTACAATAAAATGTAATTGAGTGGAGATTTTAAGAAAAATTATATTTTCAACTATGAATCACACGTTTTGGATAAACTTTACTCATTTTTGTACATGTTCCAAAGGAGTTTAGTGTTGATTCATAAGACGAATATTCCAAAACTTGTAATCACCTCTTGACATAGGTTGATGTAAGTGACGTATTTGGTGGAGGCGCCGGGGACATGTATATATCGTCTTTATTACTTCACACCGCTGCACCACGAGTTTGGGATAGATCTTCACAGCAAAATTTCAACTTCCCAGAAGTTTCTTTAAAGAGATATAAAATAAAAAAAAAACGACTCCTTACTGGCATACCCGTTTGATTAATAATTTTAGCATCTTCCACCTATTCACAGACTTTCAAAGTGGTTACACAGCTGCGTTACCTTTTTGAAATATGTTCTCGTGCGGTAGATACGTAGTAAAGGTTTATGTTTTTAAAATTGTACTTAATTACGTAAAACTAAAATACAAAAAATTGGACATATTATTATTCGAAAATCAAATGTACTCCTGAAATGAATAGTGGTCGTTACACTGAATTTACAACAATAAATTTGAGAAAGTCACATTGTGAAAATAGAGTGTAACGATGTAAATCTAGCCTAGTTTATTGTTTTATTTAATAAATGATAATGAATAATGTATTTTATATCTAACTTCACTATAAATCATTGTATAAAAAATACCACTTGGACTGTTGTTTCCTAAGATTTCTGATTTTAATGTTGGGTTGACCAGCAAATATTACCAAACTTTTACTCTCTTCGTACATTATAAGCAACTTAGAAAATGCTTCAAACATTTGATTTCAAGTCTACAATAAGTACATATTCCCTATATTGAAAAAGTTGGAGAACAGTTTCAGAATTTTATTGTTTGAATTAAATAACAAACGAAGTATTCATATGTATACAGCAAGTCTGAAGAAAAGTTTCTGTAAGAGGTTTATTATTTGTTGTCATTTAATTACAACAGAAAATTTCCAAGATCTGCTAGACGTCCGTGAACGTTTTCGGGATGTAATATACGCCTACATCTGCGAGAACGATTAAATAAAGACAGTTGAACGTAAATAAAGAAGACCGACACTTAACATAGAGCCCACACATAAGCTAAATAAACGTACAAATGAAAAAATTCAGATTTGTTTTTATCAAAATTAAATAGAATTATTATTTATATTGTGAATCATTTCGAAATTAACTGGTAATTACTGAAAACGTTTTGCTCTATATTCTCTGTGTTAGCACTTTTCTGAAGTCGTATTAACAAAAAAGTAAAGCTTTTTTACAAAATTTTCCTTGTTTTACTTAATTATTTGTAGGTTACTTGAAAATTGGGCAAAAATATATTTGATTTTTTTGTTGTTATGGCTAACATTTACTTTCTTTAAATATTAAAAAAATCTCGAGTCAGTGACTCAGAATAAATAAAGTAACTAATATTTAATATGCAAATAACGCGTTTTAGTAGAAAGAAATGAAAACAGTAAACCCCATTTTAGGTAAAGAGCTAAAGATTAAAGAAACATTTTAATTCCTGTTTAAGATAAATAATACCAACGGATTTGGATATACTATGAATTAAATAATTAAAAATTTTTGCGAAAATTATCTTTGTTATATCACATATGTCCTCCTGAAACAGCTCACATTTCATCTGTAATAAAAAAAATGCGATGACATGATTAAAATTTTACGGAAAACAACACTATTCATTTTGATATCTATTTACAATGCAACACTGTTTATATATTCAATGTATTCGTACGGAAATTAGGTGAGCACTTTTTTCAAGGTTAAAGGAATGTCACAGTTCAATTTGTTAACATCTCAAGATGATTTAACGTTGCACACTGTAATAAGTAGATAGTTTAGCCAAGAATATTAAAAAAAATATTTAAGATATAAGTGTTTATCGTTTGTTCTATAAAAAAAATCAAAATAGTGTAAATTATTTTTGTGTGAAACTATTTAATAAATTGCCGATGTCTATTAAACAACTTAATATGCCAAACTTTAAAACAAAAATCAAAGAATATTTAGGTAAAAAAGCACATTTTAACATAGAAGATTTTCTTACAGATAAAGATATAAACAGACTGTGAGTTGTTCATAGCTATAGGTAATGAATATGACTTGTACGAAACATATTTTGTAACTACGTACTAATAAAGTTATTTATTTATTTATTTATTTATTAATTTATTTATTTATTTATGAAACAAATACTCCTATCTTTGAATTTATTTGGATAAAACTTTCTTTGGCTATGCGGCACCATCAACGCACTAGTCCAAAATTATCGCTGAAACTGAATTCTCATTGGTGGTTATGGAGAAATATGAATGATTTGATTGGATCAATTTTTTTCAGGAAAGTAAATAAGATCTCCAACAGACAGACAGACAGAAAAACTTAAAATCTACAAACCTTTTAAATTTTTGACAAGCAATTGATGTGATGCTTACAAAACATTTACTTATTTGTTTATCCGCTCTAGAAATTTGATGATGTCATACAAAACTTGTTTATGAATTGGTAATATGTGTATGTTTTTAAATTTGTTTAAGCAGATTGTCTCAAAGAAACTGATGAATTTATTTTATTAACTCAAAAACGGCTTATATAATTTTCCTAAAATTCTGAGAATGCAATACGGTCGTTATTAGTGATATACAGCATTTATTAAAATTGGTACATTTGTGTCTATTACCGATGACGTTATCAGAATATTTTATTAGTAAAATCTGTTGATTTATCCTTGGGTTAATAATCCAGACCTATTTTTATTTTAAGGTACAGACGTTATCGCAAATAATGGATTTTTCCAAAATCAGATGTTTCAATTTATCTGAGAAACTGTATTGTTTGTTAATTCATCAGCTAATATTGACTAAAAATTGTAATAAAAAAATTTAATTTGTTCATCTTCCCCAAAAGACGGCTTTTTCAGAAAATTATTAAATACAATTTCACGGCTTCTATAATTTCAAGAACAACTCGTTTAATTTCCCCAAAATTCGTGAGTATCTAGTATAACGTGATGATAATGTCAATATTAAGTGTACTAAATCTAAACTAAATTAATTAATAAACTTTTACACCTAAATAATAATAAACCTTTTTTTTTTGCTTTAATTGAAAACATTATTTCCAGATATTAACTGAAGCAGTATAGCCAGTTAGACCACATTTTTCAGTAATTGTTAATGATGTAAATAGTAGATACGTGTTGTATAATTTCTTTGACACTACACAGTTAATTTTTTCTGGAACCAATATATAAATACGCTTAATTTAATGTTTACAATGCTTAAATCAGTTCAAGTGTTTTACCGAAAATTACGAAACGTACGAAATTAGCTACAATATAAAAGAGTAACGGAGCTGTTGGAAAATCTTTATTAAAATAAATACTCTGTTCTGCAACTTTTGCAGAAATATTTTCAAATATAGTCAGTACAGTCATCTGTTGAAAAGTAGAACACTGTCACGAAATACCCACTAGAAAATATTAATCTCCTTACTTGCATGCATATGGTATCCGTGATTTATTAGTATATTACGTAATTTAAAAATAAACCTTTTTTATCTTTTTACTTAATTTCAACATTTCTCCTCCAAACATTTTCACTGGAAATACATGAAATATTAATCATAAATTCAGCACACGAAATGTAAAAAATTCACTCGCAATGGCGAACAAAAAAAAAACTGCTAGTCGTTAAACAAGCGCGTTAAAACTTTTTCACTGATCACAAACAGGGAATTATTAAAAAATCGTGCTGTCAGTCGTATAAAACATTTTATTCGGTGTTGAAGCTTCATACTAAAAGAGATAGCATTATATCACATCAACTCAGATGATTGAGTCGCATCTGTACATTTCGCTTGCCTCACTTGGTCAGGATATATCTTTTTGATCTGTTTCCGGATATTAGCCGCCTTCTAAACGCTCTCTTTTGTCTTCAGTGGACAGAAAAGTCGGTCGGGCTTTGTATTTACGGTTGAATTGCATATGTTGTCGATTTTTCTGCAAAATTTCTAAGCCTGAACGGTTCAACCTAGAGCACAAACTTCAGTGAAACGTAGGTCTAGCAACCGAAGTTCTCAGATTATCGAATCTCTTTAAATTTAGTTCATTAATACAGTTTTGAGCGAACTAGGGCTCGCTGTTTACCTACGACCTTCCAATTTGAGCAGAAATGAATAGGCGTGGCTACTGCTTGATTAATAATTTCAGAACTAATCGGTGCTCTGATAAAACACTCATGTCATAAATATCGAATTAGTAAACAAGGATGTGGCTGAAATTGGGAATCGATGTTCTGTGGAAAAAAGGCCATTACATTTCAATTAGTGTTAGTAGATATATTTATAACGCTCTGAAGCGTGCTCTCCACTTTGATTTTTTTGTTTGCCGCAGTGTATTGTCCGTCGCTCAGCAAAAGAGAGAAGTTGTTGAAATGGGCCAGCGATAGATTGCCGTCGACTTGGTCATCGCAAGCAAGAACTTTATCTAGTGGCATTCCTGAATTATGGAAAGATGGGTCTCTTTTGTGCACACTCATCAATTCTGTTGTTCCTGGGGCGTGTCCAAATCCGCACAGACATTGGAGGAAACCTCCGCTTCACGCACAAGCTCTTGCATACAAATACTTGGGATTAGTTCCGGTAATTACTATAATGTTTCAGTCAGTCATAGTTGTTTAAAATAATTTAATAATGAAACTTTATGATAACGTAGAACGACCTAAAATGATCTTAATCAAAATCACCTGTGATTGGAGTTTACCGTATATATATTAACGGAGTTCTTATCTTTCAGAAAGCAGCACACAACGTTCCAATTAAACGGCGATATTATGATCAAGACATTTGTAACAAGAATAATATTATTATTAGTTTAATAAAACTGTAGCAGCTCATTATTGCCATGGCTGCCACCTTCGTTAATATTTATGTGCAGTCAACAATTCTGTTCAATTCAATATTCATATTTCAGTAGCTGCTGTATTTTTCTCATAAACCTGGTTCGTAAATCAGTTATAATAGATTCTAGAACCATCCCGCCATATTTTTTTCGAGATGTACATTATGCAAATGTATACGGTGAAATCACAAACACCCACGTTAAAAACAAAATACATGGCGGATGATAGGAATATTCTGGGTAGAATATTTCTTATAACAAATTGAAGTTGATGCCGCAAAGAATATTTTTATAGCTAATACGTCACCTACGTTAGTAATTTTAAAATTTCTGTGATTGCCACTCAGCCTTATTTTTAAGGCGAACCATCTTTGAGGTCAAGTTATTTTCAAACTAATCACTATCAAAGTTGCAGTTAATATTGTACAATGATTAAATAATAATTAAAGGGCACACATATATGACTTCATTTAAATTCATGTATGTTGTCCGCCATATAACTCGACTTCGATAATTTTTAACGACAAAAATTGTTGCCAAATTGATATATTTTAGTTTTTTCGCTGGTAGTTTTAAAAATCATCGATAATGAAAAAACTTGCTTAGCAAAAGCTTTAGAGTACGTTTTAAGCAGATAACAACAGAAGTTTTTTTTTTTAATTTAATTCAATAAAATTAATTGGTACAAGCAGCAAGCCTAACTATCTACAATTCAAAAAAATTGGAAAAATTTCAAACAAAATCTCAAATCCGCCGTTCTTATCAAAAAATTTAATTTTTGAAATTGAAAATTCAAGGAAGACTGCTATCTACAAAAACAATTTTCTGAAAAAAAATTAAGTAAGATTCACGATTCACATATATGAGTGGGTTTGTTACAGTTCGTTTATAAAATGGATTATTATTTATGAATTTGACAAGTTGATAATTTAGTGTCAATTAAGCAATAGATTGAAGAAGATTAAACTAATAAAATGAAAGACAAATTAAAAAACTACTCCGGTCATCAATCCATCCTAGTTTTTTCAGTTTGATCTCTACAACAGCATAATAGGTGATGATTTTAGGAAAATAAACAGCGAGTATATTGTTTTAATTTCATATTTGTTTAGAGAAAATATTCCTTTTTATAATAAGAAAGTTAAAACTCTTTTAATATTCACTAACATGTTACTCCAACTGTCCAAACAAGGCTAACAAAACTGATCTAAGATTATTTAGACCTAAATTCCCTCACTCTGGAGTTCAGTTCAACAAATCCAGCCTCTCTAACTTATAAAATTTACCTTAGTTTGGCGAATTCTGTTTTTTATATAAACCCCTACGAGTTAAAATAAAGATAAAAAAGTAAGCTATACACATTTTTCAAGTGAGTTTTTCCATTACAAAATTTTCTGATGACTTGAGCAAGAACACGTAGGCAGTAATCACGTACATTAGCTCAGTCAGATACAGTGTAATATTTATTATTAATAAAATAACAATACCGTATTAATGTCTAAATTGCCTAATTGTTTAATTTTTTGAGTCACCTGTATAAGAAACTAAAAAATATTAATGCATTAATAAATCACAGGTATAGACTCATAATATTTTGCACATTTTAGATAGGATTTATACGTCAAAATTGCGAGATGACGTCATCATGTGTTTGGAGGAATAAACTGATAAATTTGAATTAGTGATTTACCATGCTTACGATAACTTTAAAACGTTTGCAAGATTTCAGTTCAGAGCATTCGATTTTGCAGTTTCAACGTTAAATTGCAAAACGGTGTTATAAAATTTTGTTTTTTGAAGTATTGTAATCGAATTCATTGAGGAACTGACTGTTTTCAAATTTTCTCTCTGGGTCATGACCCGTAGAGTACGAATGGATCTCCCGTTTCCGTCTGTCACTCTGTCCGTCTGTCCGTCGTTTGTATCGTTTTTTTTGTTAGACGGATAATCTCCGAAACTATCAGACTGACTGTTGCAAAATTTTGTATGTGTATTATGAATATCAGATAGATGGTAAAACGCTAACCAAACTTTGTTTAATTATCGCCGCCAACAAAGTGTTTACCCGAAACATTGAAATTTTTGGAAAAAAATCAAAAGTACATTATATTTTGCAATTTAATTTTGAGTCTGCAGACCGGAATGCCATGAAATCTTGCCGACGTTTTTAAGATATTGTAAGCATGATAAATTTTTATTCAAGATATGTATAATAAAATGATGACGTCATCTCAAAATTTCGTCGAATAAATCTAAAATGCATAAAATATAAAAAAGTTTAAATTTTGTGATTTATTCATATTTTTTCGATTCGCTTATACAGGGTGACTCAAAAAAACTAATGAATGTGTCATTTTATTTTATTGATTAAATCAGAAACGGCTCACTCCATTTTCCTGAAAATCTGGGAATGCAATACTGTTATTATTAGTATTACACTGCACCAAAATTTTATAAGGTAAAAACTCATTTAAAACATACGCATATTGCACTTCTTTACATTTACTTACATATGTTTATGTCAACTTATAGAGGTTCTCATAAGATATAAAATTCGTAAAATCAAATTTTATAATTTCTCGAAAATGCTGGATATATTTCATTGTACTTCAGAGACGAGGGAAGTTCTTTTGAAACAACCTTCGACGAATTTTTTCGTATTATGAATAGAAATTGGTTACAAAATTTAATTTGTATATTGTCAATACATTAAAATATGTAAAAAAAAGAAAGTAGAAGACTAAGGTGTTAAAAAAATTGTGACTTCGATATTTTACCAATTCCTGATCATACTGAAACTTAAGTTTCCTTTTTCAGTTTCCACTGAGGTATTAATAATAATAATATTATAAAGACGTTAGATTATTAAATTTATTGTATCTAATTAAAAAAAAAAATGTATGCCCAGGAATTTTACCACTGAGCTGCACCAGTTGTAACGAAGTTATTTCTATGCTGGCAAAGAACAAGGCGAATTAAACATTAAACAAATATAGCAATAATAAATAAAATCAAGATATGATTCGTGAACCACAAGTACAGGGTTATATTATTTCATACAAAATCGATAATGCAATATTATGAGCGGACGTCAAATTATTGGCGATTAACCAAATGTTGGTTAACTTTTTACCATCTACATGATATTCCCTATATACGTACATAATTTGACAACAATCGGTCCAGTAGTTTCGGAGATTATCTGTCTAATGAAAAACCAGACATAGGACAGACAGACAGACAAACAGATAGACAGACAAACAGACAAACAGACAGACGGAAACGGGAGACCCATTTGTTCGTACTCTAGGGGTCACGAAGGTTGAGAAAACATAATAGGAAGTCGGCCGATGGGCTGTGAAAGTAAAAATCAGGTGTTTTAGAAATTTTGGACATATTAAGAAAATAAACTTGAAACATTACCAAAAATATTAAACAATTTTTGCATAGATTAGGTATTTTTTACTAAAATAGTAAGTAGTAAAACTATGTCGGGGAGTCGTCCACCGAATACGTTGGAGGAACTTCGACGACAGCTATAGATAGCCTGGGAGACCATACTTTAAGCAGATATTGAACACTTAATTTCCAGCATGCCTCGACGAGTTACAGAGTGTATTAATAATCGTAGAAATGTCACTCACAATTAAGTTGGTTATCTTAATTGTTGACTGGTATGGTCCAAATGTTAATCATTTTAGAAGATTAATTTGATATACATCTGCTTGAAGTTTCAATAAAATTCGTTCACTGCTTCTATGTGTTGCGCTTTTTTTGGTATATAATATGTAATGTATGTTAAATAGTATGCACTTTATATATATTTATTATATTATTGTTATATATACAATATTCTAGAATAATAATCACATTCGATGTGGAAATTATCAGTGGGTGGAGCATATCTACAGGGCATAGGGACAAGACACCTGTGTGTTAATCCACCACTTCTGCTCCAGTTGTTTTTACGTTACAATATAGTTCAAGTATCGACCCTCTCCTGATTTAAATCCGCACAAAAAAGGGCTGGGTGTCTTCTCTCTTAGTAAAAACTGGTAATCACCGAATTGAAAATACGACTGACAAATAAGCACAATCAATCAAGGAATTCACAGAAAGGTCTAAAAATGATAAAGGAAATGATACAACACAATAAGATGAATTAAATAAAATTAAGGAGCAAGAGGAAAACAGTAGAAGATCTAGCAAAAAAAGCTATGCGATAAACACTTTCTAAGTACGTCAGATAGTGGCGGAGCACATATAAGTAATTAAATATATATAATTTTTAAAGCAAATCTCGAAGTAAAAGTGTGCTCAAAGCCAATTTCACTTTTACAAATTACGAAAAATAGCAAGACGACTAGTGATACGATTAAGGAGATAAGTCAATAAACGAAAACTATAGTACAAATTTTGTCCTAACTTTAATGCACTATGAGAACAAGCAGTGTTATTTTTCATAGAACATAATTAACCTTAACATCTATAAATAAGTATAATATATAACTATGTAATTTTTTTGTAAAAAAAAAAAGAAAAAAGCGATAGATCAAGTTATTACAGATCATAGAGGACGTAGTTCGTTGAGATTATGGAAAGTACAGGATTTGTTTGGAGGCTCGCTCAAGAGGCGAGGATAAAGAAAATTTGATTTACTCAAAAATCGGAAAAAAAAAGTTTTGTATAACTAGAAATTCTTTTAAATCGTTTATACTTATGCAAACATCGGAAAATACATATTTTTTCAAAATCTAATCATTTTCACGGAAAGTTATGTCAGATTAGAGGAAAACTTTGTAGACGTAACATATACGAAACAGCTTTTTCAAATTGTTGTAAAAAAATAAATATTTACCTGTCTACATCTCGGAAATTTGTTTACGATTAAGAATGTTTGGATTGTAAACAGGTAGTCCCAGTGTCTTTTAAAAATAAAAAAATTAGTCATAAAAAATTACAAGTACAAACAAAAATAGGAAACAGTAACTGAAGTATGACAAAACGTGTTAACAATAACAACCAAATAAACTAAATGAGATCATTAACATTAACTGCATCTGGAAAACGCTTGTAGCAACAAAGCTAAAATCTAAATATTTAAATTCAGACAGGCTTCTGTAAAAACATTAATAATGTGTACAGAGTAATATGGAATTCTCAGTGAATAAACGCTACACATCTATTTTTTTTATAAACTGACAGAAGTAAAAGAAATTAAAAAGTTTTTTCTTTTACTTTAAAGTAATAATAACGGGAGGGACTCGATGAAATTAATTAAAAATGAAACTTAGGAGTTCGAACATGCGCATTCTATGCGGTACTCTTCTGATTATCTTTTATAAAATGTCTTGTAAACACTTAGCATGAGTAAACTATTCAATTTCATTTCATTTTAGAATCGCTTTAAATAGATAGAACAAATATGAGTTCAAGAGATACTAAAAACAAATTTGTCTTGAGCCACAACGTAGGCAAACAGTTTCGTTAGGTAGCGAAATAATTATCAAAACAAATACTATCACATCAGTTTTAACTGACTTCTTTACGCTGTTGCGCAAAATATTAGATGATTTTTAAACTCTTCTTAGAGATTTAACTTAAAACTATTTTTGGGGGGTCTAATTATTGCTTCACTACCCCAATGAATCAGTAAAGTTGACTACTATTTTTTATTATATTTTTTTGCGATTTACCACCATTTGAAAAGTAATTCTCACTATACCTTCTCGCTTGAGCATATCTGTTACTTCATGATTATTTATTATATATATTCTTCTATATTCTTTGCGTTGTATTTTCTTCAGTCCCATTATTCTTCCAATTATTTTTCTTTCAAATTGTCTCAAATTCTCTGTTTATATACACTTTCATATATCTTTAGATATTTTGCTGCTCTTCATGATGTTATTATAACTATTTGAAATATGCCTTGTGCCGTTCTTGTGTTCTTTGTGTTACTTGCACTTGATGCTTATGATCTCAATGATCGTTCCCGAGTACCTAACATTTTTTACTTTTTTAAACTTACATGTCCGTCCTTGATGCTTAATTACTGGTAGATATTTTGTCTTTGCCACATTAATGACCGATCCTCTTTTGTTTGCCTCATCTACAATTAGTATTAGCATTTCCGAAAAACTTGTCTTGTTTTCTGCAATTAAAAGTATGCAATGATTCTTCCTGATTTGTTTCGTAGTTGATGACTATTCTCTCCAATACAATTATTACACAACGTAGCGTAATATAGACATTCTGATTAAATTTATTAATTTTCTGTGCATTTCCATCTTTTCCATATTTTACATTATCGTTTCTCGATTCAGGTTATCAAACGTTTGCTTAAAATCGATGCATAACGTGTGTATGTAAACGTTCGTAGCATTTTTCAATTATTTGGTTCGTGCTATGGATAATACCGACCGTTGAACTTCCATATCTGAATTGATGTTGGTACCTAGTATCCCATTTGTGTTTCAGTGATTTCTTGTAAACGCTGATTTATTGCATTACTGAGGATTTTGTATGCAATGTAGGCTTACTCCTCTGCAATTTGTACATATGTGTGAATTTCCAGTTTTCTGAATTGGTAGATATTATCTATCATTCCCATATCCCATTCCGTTGGTATTTTTTCAATACTCCACCATTTTTCCTTCTCTATTTTGGCTTTCGTATCCCCAATGCACCACTTCTGTCGTGTATATGAGTCACTCCTGATATTTTACCCTAGATGTCAAGTTTTTTAGATAAAAATCAAAATTCTATAACAACATTTTACAGTTTTACGTTGACACTGCAAAACCAAATGCTCTGAAGTCTTGCAAACGTGTTAGAATTATAAGTAAGCATGATTGACTTACTAACCACCAAAAAATTTTAGGTGTAATTTACTGTTTCTCGCAAAGACTGTAAAATCCAAATCAAAATTGTATTTTTAACGGTTTGCTGATGAATTTTTCAAAGCAACAAATATATTGTTACAATATCTCAACAATTTATTTCTTAGTAACTCGAATTTACACGACTAATTACACAGCAATTAAGCACAACATAATTCCGACGCAACTTGACTGGCTTTTCAACATCCACTGGACTCGACTCGTTGGCTGAATAATAATCGTTCCCGAAGGTGGCCTCTATTTAAAGCTATACTTCCCTTATTAAAGTTCCACAGTCGAGTCTTTCTGGGTTGCCCATCGCGACCTCCGCTTCCAGGCTTTTCTTTAGCGAACGCCGCCCGACCGCCTTCCCCGACGATGAGTCCCCGTACATACTAGAATCCATAGGCGTCGTACCGGGGGCGGCATATCAGTTTCTTTAGTAACAATATTATACAATTTATGTCGCTAACATCTTAAAAAAATATTATGCAATTGTTTATTAAGATCCAACCGCTTTTACCAGCTATTTTTATTATGGTTTAATAAATAAAGAAAATAAATAAAAAATAAATAAATTCATTAATTAAATAATTAATAATAAATAAATAAATATTTCGCAAATAGCTCTAACTATATAACTGTTTATTTGGACTATGCTTTTTCAAAGAGTTACTTACTGTAAAAAAATAAAATAGTAAGCTATCAAATGTGCTCGGTGTAGGTTGGGCTCCTAGAGCAAGGGAACTTTATTATTTTTCAGGTGTTTCTAAATAATCTTATAATTTTAATGTACCAATCCCGTATATTTACACACACTTTTAATCTGATCGTGTGGACGTAATCCAAATTTTGTTTTACAAACGTTGATGATATCTTGAATTATAAGTTAGTCAACGTTTTGCATGCGGTAAAACTGGAGTAAATGGTTAAGTAAACAGAGTCGATGAAACTAGAGTTGAGTAGTTCAACACTGCAAATGTAATGGCTTATCGTTAGACATTAGATTGTCATGTCAACCTTAATGAAATTACACAAACAGTAAAGCTCGTAATATTCGACTCAATTTTGCATCACATTTTTTAATTTTCTCCTCCATAAGCACGTGAATAAATTCTCATCTGCGATTCCTTTCCAATTTTAAAGTTTTAAATAATTTTCTAGTGTTTTTCTCGAAAAAATTCTGCATAAGTACTTATATAAAAATACTAATAATAAATAAATGTATAAAACTTTAAAATTCTTATTACAACTGCATTGTCACGTTGTGTTTCTTATTAAAAACAAACTTAAAATACTGTCGTGATTCTAGTCTTAATAATAGACACGAAGAAATCTGAAATTTCATTTAAATTAGTACAACGTGCAGCATTTTTTATTTTTAATTAAAATAGTTGCAACTGTAATTCATTAAACCTATATTAACTTTTTACAGATGTTCACCGATGATGAACTATCGGGCGACTTCACAATGAGTCAAGAAAGAAATTTTATCCAGTATTTGCATAAACTTCAAGAGGCTATAAACAAATGGGCCTCAAACAATGAATTAAGCCGCAAGTTCTCAACACAATATGTTGCACGAGGAATGGGTTTATACACCGGCGAACAACACCGAAAAACAGTTTTCTATGTGTACTCCAACGCAACAGCAAAAAGACGCAGCAATGTGTTAATGTACATTAGGGGACCATATGGAACACAGGGTAAAGTCACCATTTCCCCTTTTCACAATCTAAAAACAATTCCCGTGGTCAACGTGCTACAGGATCAACTTCAAGCCACTAAAACATTACCGTTTAAAAACGAGGAACAAAAATCCTTTCTCAAAACTATATCTCTGGATTTTACATCGTTAATTAATAACATCGAAGATAAGGGAGAAAAAAATGAGATTCCTATTCAAATTGATATGGAAATTGATAGGGCTAAAATTACATACATCCCCAAGGATAGTGGGATATACGAAATTAATTTAATTTGTGACGGAGAGTTGCTCAGGGGCTCTCCGTATAGCGTACAAGTGATTAATAATACGTCTGGTAAAAAGGACAGTTTTAATACTGAATGTGAAAATGTAGAGGAGAAGATCACGTTTACAAAAAGAAAAATTCTTTCAAAAGTCATCGACTGCATTGATGAAAAGATTTGCATTGATAATAACAAAATTTCAAGGATAAAAACGAAAGATAGCACTGAAAGCTCTACAGAAAGCGAAAGTGATGATCTAACAATTACAGCTATTACCAAAAAGAAGGATGAGATTTTGAAAACTGAGATTAATTGTACACTAGAAGACATTATAGAGGAAATTAACTTAGTTCAAGATAAAGATATTCAAGATCAATTGCAAACAGAGAAACAAGAAGATAATCAACTTTATAATCAACTAAATGCTCTAGAGGAAATAAAAAAAATTGCTGAACAGCTGAAGACAGAAGTACCAAATATTGTTGACACAAACATCATTGACGAAGTCGACAGCGGTGTTAAATTAAAAGTTGATACAAAGCATAAATTTGTAAAGGATTGCGAGGAAGCGAGTACAGAAATTTTCAGTTCTATACAAAACGAAGATGATGAAGTTGATAACAAGTTTAATTACAACGTAGAAAAAGATGTTACCTTATCTGAGAAAAATATTCTCTCTAGATTAGATATTGGGTTTGAAAAATCGACCAAATATCTTAAAGACATAGTAAACTCAACCAGTAAGCAAGAAATGCTGGAAAAGATATTACCTACAGAGTTAATTTATAAGAAAGAATCCAACGAGGATGAAAATCACAATTTATCGACAAATGTCCCTCTAAGAAGGATAAAAAGCAAAATTTGTGTAGAGATAAACCCCCGTAGCATGTCCAAGACTAACACATCTATCAGTTGCCCCGATGTTACTTCCCCAATATGCCCCGAACATATTGCCCCAGAAGTAGAAATGAGTAGTCTGAACCAACTTACCTTGTCACAGAAACGTCAGACACTGTCCAAGCAAGATAGTTTCAGTATACCAGATGGTGACGGCACATTTTCTACCTCAGAAAACGATGATTCGTCAAAGTCAAAAGAATCGACTTTTAAAGAATTGAGTGTGTTGAATGTCTTAAATAGCCTGAAACAATCTCGTAAGAACAGTCTGTCTGAAACTTACTCCCTTAGCTCTACCACTAGTCTTCCAAATATGACATCCATTGATTCCGGTTATGACCATATTGATGAACCTACATTTAAGGCAAGAAAAGATTATTGGGAAAGATTGTCCTCTAGAAGTTCTAGTAGTGTCAGTTTAGCAAATTCGGATTACAACCTTAAGAGAAAAGTAGTCGCTGTGAAAAATAATCTTAATAAAAACGACAGCATCGAAAAATGTTTCAACAATGAAATAGAAACAACTCAAGAAATGGACACTTCAGTAGAAAACACATCTCCAACTGTCAGTATTCCTAAAGAGCAATCACTGGATACTTCTTTAGAAGACTGCATACTTATACCTCTCGAAGAACGAAAGAAGCGACTGTTAAAAGATATGTATGAACGAGAGACTCGTCCAAAGAAAAAATTAAACATAAGATTAAATTTTTTTAAAAAGAATAATAAACCAAAAGTTGAGGAGAAAGAAACTTATTTTTCTTCAATATCCGACCGCATCCAGAATTTTGATCAAAACAATTGTAAGTATGTTTGGCAGAGATTTGCGTTTGAACTAATTTTTTAATTATTTTTAGCAAAGGCAAAACCCAAAGGAAACAGTACCCCATCGGACCAAAATTTAAATGAGGAAAAAGAAGAACTGAAGAAATCTACCAAGAAACATACAATAAAGTCTCAGTTTAAAAGAGCAATAAATTTTTTTAAGAATATGGAAGAAAACTCCAAGTTAAAAGAAAAAAACAAAACTGACCTAAAGCGACGATATTCTTTAGATTTTCAGAAAAAAAGTCAGAGAAGGGTTCGAGGAGGAAGCTTGAACCTACCAAACACTACAGATCGGTTTTCAATAAGTAATTTGTACCAGGATGTATTTGGAAACAAGAATGGAAGTTTTAAAGGAACTCCTAATAACACTGGCATAGCAAATTCTCTTGCTTCTCTGTCAAAAACTTTTGAACCAGATGAGTCTCAAAAACAAGAAGACAATAGCATTAGCTATAATTTATTTGTAAATAAATCTAAAAATAAGAAACGTAAAAGTATTAGATCGCTTTTTGATGTTAACTATTAAATCTTGTAATCTAATGTAATATTGTTAATAATGTTACTTTAACTTAGAAAAATATTTATTTATTTTGTACATACATACTGCTGATTAAATAAAAAAATATAAGAAACTTTGTTATAAGTTAATATAGTTTCGCGCGAAGTTTTTTATAACAATGACCATTTTTTTGTAATACGCAGGACCCCAATCATTGTGCTGAAAATAAGATGACCAATTAAACACACCCGCATCACCGAAATTTGGGACAGAGAACTACATTTTCTTAATAAATCTTTTTGTCAAATTTCAGTGTCTTAGATCCGTTTAAATTTATATATTTTATAAATATTTAAAGAAAACACAATATCTTAATTTACTGAATGTTAAAAATTCATATTTGTCTAAAATAAATTATATGCATATCGGAAGATATTTTTCTTATACCATGGTAATAAACTAAGTTTACTGTTTATTTTATCCTGATACTAAGTATCAAAGAAAGTATACTTTTTGTTTAAAATACCGACATGATATCAATATTTCATTACAATTATTTAAAGTTTATTGTAAATGCAAGTGCGATATGTAGATATAAAAATACTATGTATTTTTTTCAACCGAATTGCAGGAAACGATGTAAATACGTACGTATATACTTATAGAGGACAGGTTCCATTCCTTGAAAAACATCAACATATGAGAATTACGGTTTACATTAATCAGTCATTATTTATTGAAGAAAACTTAATAGATCCACCCTATTTGGAGCTCCTTGAAATTGTACTAATTAATGATGTTTTTGAAGCACACGAAGATTTCCGTTATCCATATTTTTCCAACAAGACTGTACACTGGGCACTGACATTTAATAGATCGAAAACTTTCTTGAAATTTACTGGATTTATGACCGGGAACGTTAAGGTTTAAAAATTACTGCAAAAATAGTACGTTTCCTCTACACAAAGTGAAACGTAGGACATGCAGTGAGAACTGAAGTGGCTTTCAACTAATCGAAATAAAACCTAGCCCCCTTATTTAAAATTGTTAAGTTAGAGGTTACTACATAATTATGTTTACATTATCTGTAGAAAATGTAGTTTTGTTTATATTCGCCAAAAGACATTAGATAGTTGCCTATACAAACTTATTACTCTTTTACCTTCAGAAACTGTTCGCTTCAAAATTTTCCACTGAATGTATTTGATTCACTGTAAAAACAAAATATACTCTTCCTTTACATAAATAACAGCCAGATAGAAACTATACAAACAGGAGCTTTCTTGGGATTACTGAAAGTAAGAGAGATTTATTTGCAATCTAATGCTTTGAATGCTGTTTCAGTTTCCCAGTCAAACTAAGAATTTTAGATTTAAGCAACAACAATGTATATTTAATTGAAAACGAAGCTTTTAGCAGAAGTAAATTAACAAAATAAACAAAAACTTTACAGTGGGTGTTAACAGTGTTTCATCACTAGGTTCTCAAGTTTCGACGAAACGAAAAATACTTAATATGTAGGTACTTCATACTAATAACTGATTAATTATTATTTGTGTCTAGAATTTTTCTTCAAATACAAATAAATATCTTTGTTTATAAAATGTTTCGGTAAAGTTGAAATGCCATAAAATGCTTTAAACTTTTTTGTATTTGACTGGTTTATACAAAAAATAGTGTTTATAATAATAATTTGTTATAAAGTAGAAATAATATTTTGAAAACCTCAGTGGTAATTTTACAGGCATCCATAAATTTTATCGGGCGTGTATAGTCTACTTATATTTTGTGTACTTTATGTTATAAAAATTAAGTAATTTGCAATTACAAAATAGGAGTATTAAAACAAGATGTACTTCCAATTTGCACCAGTTTCACATCTTAGGCATAAGTTACAACAACTTAAAATACGTAAAGCTAGTGAAGTTTCGAACAAATCGATTTAAACGGAAACAATATTTCATGTCAAAAGTTTTGTGTGTGTACTAATAGAACATAATAGTAAACTTAAAATCTGCAGTACCCATCTCCAGTAAATCACAACACATTTAGTGCAAATTTTTTATGTTAATTTTCAGTTTCGTGTTTTCAGATATTTTCTGTCTCACACATTTGTTAAAATTTTTGGTAAGTGCGAATAATGCCCGATTATCTTAGTATAAATATGATTTTCGATTAGACAATTCGTTATCAGAGTTCCAGTTAAATTATTCAAAATGACTCTGAGTGATATATCTCTCCACTATATTAAACATAGCGTCACATTTAGCATTATTACACATTCGATTAATAGTTTATATTCGATGTATCAAATGAACTCAATGTTTATCAATTACGTATACATTTTGGATTAAATTCGTATTATACAACTAAGAAATTAGTTGGAATACTTCAGGCAAATTAAGAACTTAGCAAAAATGTATTTTTAGTTAGTAATCTAGTTGTAGATGATTTTTTTTATCAAAAATACCAGAACATTTTTTATATCTTTACAATTCAAGCGAAAATGTTCTTAGTTATTTTGTCCAAAAAAAAACCTGTTGGAATTCATATTACGTACATATAATTTAAAAATAGATAATAATAATAATAACGTTGATATAATCATTTTTTAAATCTACCTTTGATAAATCATAAAAATAATAATCTCAGGTGGGCTACTTCTAAAATCTAAAATGATTCCGAACATGTTTCCAACTCATTCCAAAAATTCCTCGAAAAATTCGTAAACTTTTCGTCTATATAGCCCTCCAAAAATTCACAGAGTATGCCATACTGCCCTATAAAATCTATCGTCACTACCATTGACTTCCCCGTGTATGCCCACTGCTAAATGACTATGCGGGCTAATCTTCATCACATATATCCTCAATTCCAAATATCTTGTTCAATTTTTGTCGAATTCATCACTGAATTCCAACAGTATTCCGGTAAGCTTCCTTCTAATAGTTCTAATATCCTGGCCCTGATGATGTATTTGTCAAACTCTATCTCCTACATGTAAGGTTATCCTGTTTTTTTTTTTTTCAATTAATATTAGGGCTATGCCCTACGTGTGTGACTCACAGCTTCACTTGATGAACAAATTTTTTAATCGTATGGTGTAAACAAATATTCTCTGTTTTCCCTATCGTTGCTAATATTTTCATAGATTTCTATTAACGAATAACGTTAGTTTCATAAGATTTGAAGCCTAAGCCTTGGATATGTGTATCTACGATACTTATTGAATCATCTCAATACTCAGCCTTCAGATATCAAATTCACCATCAAAATTGAAGACAATAGTTCTCTACTTTTCTTGATATTTTATACTCGAACGTTTCTCCAATAGTCATCTAGACCATTCCATTTATCGTTGTCAATTTCACATCCGAATAATCTTCAATCTGAATAAAATCACGTCTAACAAAATCTTGTGAATACCATGATATTATCATAATGGGTACCAATGTAAGTCCACATACACCTAATTTTTAACATTGCATTATACTCTAAATTATATAGTTCCCTTAAATTAAAAAATGAATCCATCAAAAATACATTTTATTTTTAAAACTCTTAGTTCTTAAAGGTGTTACACTTTTATGGACAATAAAAGGTTTACGTAAATAACATCTATTAGAAGTGCAGAATGAGATTGTTTGAAAATGAAGTGTGTTTTAACAAACACTGAACAATGAATAAGTACTTATTGGTAAAACAAAATTAACGTTTGCATACAGATAAGGTAAAAACTCTGCGATGAAGTAAAATTAAATATTTACTAAACTAAAATTAGTATTAAGCGAAACAAAATTAAAATATACAATTTAAGACTGACTTTCACGAATTTGTAAACGTGTGTACTATTTCAATTTATTACGGAAGTGACACTTTTTCATGATTTCTCAGTTATCATCACTGTTATCAGATATCACTGAACAGAATTTAGACCATTCGTTTCTAGCTTTAACTGTCCCAGAGCATTCTAGCGACACGTAAATTTAATTTAAACATTGTACAGATCTCTGTTAAGTCAAACTTGGCGGAGCGCCATCTGAGGTGTAGTAGCTGAGGATAAATGCACGACATATGCAGATATTTTGGAAGTAAAGGTACGTGTCCACTTGCGAGAAATCGCCTCAAAATCAGCCCTGGAGAGCTCCAAGTCGAATCGAGTACACACGAAACACTGATCGGATGATCTTGCCGCGAGCGACATGCTCTCCAGTGGACACGACAAACTGCGTTTACTTGCAAGTAATACTCTCAATGCGAAGAAGTTTCGAATTGGGGAAGTATTCCCCGAGAATAAGCAGTTCATCATAAATTATTTCTCGAGTAAAGCCGACTATTTTACACGTTTATAATTCTATGCAAATAGTCGTGAAAAGGACTACGCAATTCGGCCAATTCTGATCGTTTACCTGACTTCAACATTTAAACAGCGTTTTGAGATAGGTAACACATTTTTATATATATATAATCAAAAACCTACAATACCCGAAGGTGTTAGGTATTTACATCATATTATTCATGGACATGTCCTTCGTACACCACGTTTCTCCACTTTTTCTTATCTTTTGCGAGCATCCTGGCTTCCGCCCACCCTACTCCTTTCTGCTGCAGAGTTTTCCCAATATTTTCATTCCACGTTACGGTCGGTCTTCCTCTTGGTCTTTTGTGCTGAACTCTAGATTCCCATACACTTTTTACTGGAGTCTCTCTGTCCATTCTGATTAGGTGTCCATACCACCGTAGTTGGTTCCTTTCTATTTTATTCACGATCGGTTCTATATCTAATTCTTTCCTCACTTCTACATTTCTGATTCTATCCATTTTTGTTATACCCATTACTCGTCGCAGAAATTTCATTTCCATACTTTGTATTTGGCTTATTAGTTTTTTTGTTACGATCCAACTTTCACTTCCAAATATAAGTATTGGTGTAAAAACAGCTCGGTACACGCTCCTCTTCACTTTCCTTGATATTTCCCTCTTTCCTATGAATGTATTTTTAATACTGTGGTACAATCTTGCTGCACTTTCGATTCTCGCCTTGATTTCCACCTCCTGATTGCCATTGCTGCTCAGCAGTACTCCTAAATACTTAAAAGTTTCCTCTTGTTTTATAGCTTTTCCATCTATTTGTACGCTAATGTCATGACTAGCTTTTCCCATTACCATGACCCTAGTCTTTTCTACATTTATTTTCAATTTTCTGTCCATTAATGCTCTGTTCCAAATCTCAACGTTCTTCTGTAGATCCTGCTCCGTTTCCGCGAAGATCGCCAGATCATCTGCGAAAGCACATTGCTTGATCCATACAGGTTTTAAACATCTATGCCCTACGTACAGCTTGCTCGTCTTATTACCCGTTTCTTTTATGATGTCGTCCATAACTAAGTTAAATAACAAGGGGCTTAGAACCCCTCCTTGTCTTAGTCCT